AAAAGGCTGCAGTCCAGTGCTACTCTTCGCTGGAGCATATCACCTTCCATGGTAGTTGTGCTTCAAGCCTTTTAGGCTATTACTCACAAGTACTAACCTTGCTCTCTTGTTTCCAGTGTTTCCTGGCTCCTCGGCTTGTTAAAAGGACCCCTCGTGATCCTTTGGTTTCCTGACTCCTCGTGTCCTGTTCCTGGTCCCTCGGACTTCCTCGTGTCCTGTTCCTGGTCCCTCGGACTCCCTCGTGGCCTGTTCTTGGTTTGTAGACCCCCTTGGGTCCCTCCTTGGCTCAACCTCCCTCGTGCCTGGATTCCCCTTGCCTGGTGCTTCTAATCCAGCCAGTGCCTGCCCAGCCAGCTACTGGACTCTCTCTGAAGCTCTCTTGGAGGATTGGAACCCGCCTCTGGACCAAACTGTAAGAGATTCACAGAACACAAAATATCAGCTCCTAAGAGCTCCACCTCCATTCTGACTGTCCTCCTCTACCCCCTCCAGGAGCTGCAGAGAAGCTGCACCAGCATTGTACATTATTTCACCTGTAAATAAACACTGTTCTTTTGTATCCACCTGAGTCTATCTCGTTCCGGGTCTCATACAAATCTGGGTTCCCCGCGGTTACGACAGAAATGCTCCAGCCAAAGCAGACCCAGAATGAGACCGGGAGCGAACAGACAACCGCCATCTCACAGGTGGAATGGATCTCCAGACTGGAGACAATGTTGCAACAGGTTCTGACCCAGCAACGTGCGGCCCAGTCCAACATGCAGGAACTCGGAGGTATGATTTATTCCCTCAAACAACAGCTTCTACCTCCTATTCCTCCAGATACGACCAACCCGCCTGTCCCCAGCGTCCCTCGTGAGGCACCTGTCGCAACCTCCCATGGTCAGCAGCTGCTCGTCAAACCGTCTGACCTTTTCGCCGGAGATCCCGACCAATGTGGGGGTTTTCTGCTGCAGTGCAGACTCGCTTTCGAGGGAGCCCCGTCTCTCTACCACACAGACTCTGCGAAGATTATTTACTTTATTAACCTTCTCAAAGGTAACGCCCTTCGCTGGGCTAATTCTTTTATGCAGTCCCACGTGAATCCCCCGGCTACTTACCCCCAACTCCTGAAGGAGTTTCGACGGATCTTCGATTGCCCCCTGCAGGTTTCTAACGCAGTGAAACGTCTCCTGGGGTTACGTCAAGGCCGCCGTCCTATTTCTGAGTATGCCCTGGAGTTCCGGATACTGGCGACTCAAACGAGGTGGGACGAACTTGCTCTCCAAGGTGCGTTTCTGAACTCTCTCTCCGACCAGATAAAGGACCAAATCGCTGCACGAGACGAACCGGAAGGGTTCGACCAACTAATCGAAATGGCATTTCCATTGATGACTACTTCCGGGAACGGAGGCGAGAACAAGACTACAACCCCCAGAAACCTTCCACTTCTGGGTTCGCGGCCCCTTCAGGTGAATCTCGTTATTTTAAGACAGCGAAAGAAAGTTATCAAATGCAAACGTCCCCGGTTATTAATCCTCCTTGTTTGTCTCCCCAGACCAAACTTTCCATGCCTCCCGAGCCAGAACCCATGCAGATTGGGCAAACACGGTTGACTTTTGAAGAGCGAGAGCGCCGTAGAAACGCTAACCTCTGCATTTACTGTGGCAACCCCGGTCATTATTTACCTCTCTGCCCGTTTCGGGGGAAACGAGCAAGCCCACCAGTAAAGTGGGAGATACTGGTGGGTAACTCAGCTCTTATCTCCCCATTTAAACGCCTCTTGCCCACAGTTATTCAAATAAACAGTTCTCGTGTCCCCTTATTGGCCCTGGTTGATTCAGGCGCTGAACAGAACCTCATCAGTTCAGACCTGGTCAACAAATATTCTTTACCCACTTGCAAAATCACTCCTATTTCTGTTTCCGGTGTAACTGATGAAACGTTGGCGCTCATCTAACGAAAAACCATCGAGCTTCACTTAATCATCTCAGGCAACCACCATGAGATGACCGATTTCTTTGTGTTCGACTCCTCCGTTTCTCAGATTATTTTAGGTTTTCCCTGGCTGAAGACGCACAACCCAGACATTAATTGGGAGCTAGGGCGAGTGGAGAAGTGGAGCAATAAGTGCCTTAAAAACTGTCTACGCTCCGCGATCGCCGGGCAGCAAGTGGTCACTCCTCCTAGTGAGGAGGTAGATCTCTCCGCTGTTCCCACTGCCTACCACGACCTCGCGTTGGCGTTCAGCAAACAGAGAGCCTTATCACTCCCTCCTCACTGTGACTGTGCCATTGACTTACTCCCTGGCGCCCCCTTGCCGTCTAGCCGACTTTATAATCTCTCGGGCCCCGAGAGGGTTTCCATGAAAGAATATATCAATGAGTCCCTCAACTCTGGTATTATTCGCCCCTCCACGTCTCCCGTCGGTGCAGGTTTCTTCTTTGTTTCCAAGAAAGATAAAACCTTACGTCCCTGCATCGACTATCGCGGCTTGAACAGTATCACTGTTAAAAATAAATATCCACTCCCTTTAATCAACTCTCTCCATGAGCAGTTACAATCTGCCACCATTTTTACTAAATTGGATTTGAGAAATGCTTACCACCTCGTTCGCATAAGAGAAGGCGACTAGTGGAAAACAGCATTTAAAACACCCCTCGGCCATTTTGAATATTTAGTTATGCCTTTTGGTTTAACAAATGCCCCCGCGGTTTTTCAGGCCCTCGTGAACGACGTATTGCGCGACTTCATCTGCGATTTTGTGTTTGTTTACCTCGACGATATCCTCATTTTTTCCCGTGACCCCTCTCTGCATGCGGGACAGGTAAGGAAGGTCGTCCAGAGGTTACTGGAGAACCAGTTATTCGTGAAAGCCGAGAAGTGCCAATTCAATGTCCCCTCGGTCCTTGGTTTCATTTTTGGGGGAGGCCACTGCAAGACCGACCCAGAAAAAACAAGAGCTGTGGTCGAGTGTTCTACTCCCGAGTCCAGGAAACAATTGCAACGCTTCCTGGGCTTCGCAAATTTTTATAGACGCTTTATCAAAGATTACAGTCGAGTGGCCGCCCCACTTTCTCAGCTCACCTCTACCTCCAGACGATTTATCTGGTCACCTGAGGCTGAGACTGCTTTTCTTAAATTAAAAACATTATTTTCTTCTGCGCCCGTCCTCTCCCACCCTGATCCACATCGACAGTTTATCCTCGAGGTTGACGCTTCGGATACAGGGGTAGGGGCGGTGCTGTCCCAACGATCCTCGGAGGACAACAAGGTCCATCCCTGCGCTTTTTTTTCAAAACGCTTGTCCCAAGCAGAGCGAAACTACGACGTGGGAAACCGTGAACTCTTGGCAGTAAAGCTGTCCCTGGAGGAATGGCGGCACTGGCTGGAGGGCACGGAGACCCCGTTCTTGATTTGGACCGATCATAAAAACTTGACTTACCTGCGGGACGCTAAACGCCTGAACCCCCGCCAGGCACGATGGTCATTGTTTTTTATCAGGTTCAACTACGTCCTCACTTTCAGGCCAGGCTCCAAAAACGTCAAGCCGAACGCGCTGTCCCGCCAGTTTGCCCCCCTCCCCGACAACAC